CCTCCGGATCCGGACCCCCTTTAACCCGGGCCACAGGAGAACTGGACATCTGGATCCAGACCTCCTTTAACCTGGGCCAGAGGGGAACTGGACCTCCGGATCCGGACCCCCTTTAACCCGGGCCACAGGAGAACTGGACCTCTGGATCCAGACCTCCTTTAACCTGGGCCAGAGGAGAACTGGACCTCTGGAGAACCGAAACCCCGGATCCAGACCCCCTTTAACCCGGGCCAGACGAGAACTGGACCTGCGGATCCAGACCTCCTTTAACCCGGGCCAGAGGAGAACTGGACCTCTGGAGAACTGGACCTCTGGATCCAGACCCCCTTCAACCTGGGCCACAGGGGAACTGGACCTCTGGAGAACTGGACTTCCGGATCCGGACCCCCTTTAACCCGGGCCACAGGAGAACTGGACCTCTGGATCCAGACCCCCTTTAACCCGGGCCACAGGAGAACTGGACCTCTGGATCCAGACCTCCTTTAACCCGGACCACAGGAGAACTGGACCTCTGGATAACCGGACCTGGATACAGACCTTCTTGTGGGGGATCAGGTCCAGACAGGCCTGGTACACCTGCCTGGTGCGCTCGGGATCCTGCCAAAGAGAAACACCGTTACACCTCCATATACGCCGAGGGACCAGGACCAGGACCAGACCAAGGACCAGGACCAGTACAAGGCTCAGGCCCAGGACGAGCCAAAAGACCAGGACCTGGACTAGGCCCAGGACAAGGCCGAGGACCAGGCCTAGGACCAGACCAAGGACCAGGACCTGGACATGTACCAGGCCAAGAACCAGGACCTTGACAATGCCCAGGACCAGTACAAGACCCAGGATGAGGATAAAGCCCAGGCCCAGGCCAAGGACCAGTACCAGTACCAGGCCATGGACCAAGATGTGGACATGGACCAGGCCCAAGACAAGCCCAAAGGCCAGGACCTGGACTAGGCCCAGGCCAAGGTCCAGGCCCAGGACAAAAACCAGTACCAGGCTCAGGACAAGGCCCCGGACCAGGCCCAGGACCTAGACCTGAAACAGGATCAGGATCAGGACCAGACCCTTGACCTAGATCAGGCCAAGGACCAGGAAAAGAACCAGGACCTGGACATGGCCCAGGACCAGGACCTTGACGAGGCCAAGGACCAGGACCTGGATCTGGGCAAAGACAAGGCCCAGGCCCAGACCCCGACCCCGACCCAGACCCTGACCCAGACCCAGGACCTGGCCCAGACCCAGGCCCAGGCCCAGACCCACCTTGACCTCCAGCTCCTCGTACAGGGCGTAGTTGATCCAGAGGTAGATGTAGCGCCTCCAGTGCCTCTTCTCCTGGATGGGGGGCATGTTGGCGATGGCCCTCTCGTAGACCTCCCGCACCGTGTCCGGGTCCGCGTCGCTCTCCACCAGACGCAGGTAGTCGAACCAGGCGTCGTAGTTATGGGGGTTAGCCTGCAGGAAAGGGAGGGCTGGTTCAGAGACATCCACAGACCCAGAGAGACATCCACAGAACCAGGGAGACACAAAGAGATAAAGAGAGACACAGAGAGACATCCACAGACACAGAGAGACGTCCACAGACACAGAGAGACATCCACAGACACAGAGAGACGTCCACAGACATAGAGAGACACAGAGAGACGTCCACAGACACAGAGAGATAAAGAGAGACACAGAGAGACATCCACAGAACCAGAGAGACACAAAGAGACGTCCACAGACACAGAGAGACACAAAGAGACGTCCACAGACATAGAGAGACACAGAGAGACGTCCACAGACACAGAGAGACGTCCACAGACACAGAGAGACACAGAGAGACGTCCACAGACACAGAGAGACACAGAGAGATGTCCACAGACACAGAGAGACGTCCACAGACACAGAGAGATAAAGAGAGACACAGAGAGATAAAGAGAGACGTCCACAGCCACAGAGAGACGTCCACAGACACAGAGAGACGTCCACATCCCTTCCCTTCAACATTTAACTCATTCGCTGCCAAAGACGTCTATAGAGGTCTTTTATGTTTTTCAATGCGGCTTGGGGAACGATCGGCTAAAGTTTTTCCGTAAATATCGGCTTCCAGACAGAGTATGTAGTAACAAATTTACCTTCTAGG